AAGATTTGAACAGAAAAAAAAAATTGTGTTGAAATTAGATATCCTCAATCTGTTCATTCCTTCCACACTCATCCTCCCATGGCCCCCCTCCCCAACTGCTTGGATTCAATTTACATTTTTTATTTATAAGTCTGAATATTTAGAATAGCTTTATAAGTTTATCTGCTACGTAGTTGACTGTAGATGGTGAATCTTTTTACATCTTTTAGTGTTTCAGGCATTTGGGGGGGTTATTTAAACTAAAAAAATATGTTACAAATCATGATATACTTGTGAGAAAAACAACAAATGGGTGGAAAAAGGGGCATGAATGGGGGTGGGGATGGAGAGGGACAAGTAGCATTCCAGGTCAGTCTTTGTAATACCTTTCTTTAGTTTTCTGTCATATTATTCACTTGTGCTTGCATCCAAGATCATTGCTTTTTTAATAGGGATAAATTGCCACCATATAAAAATTACCTACAGTTTGGCTCTTACGTGTCACAGTAAAGATTGACAAAAAGTGATCGGAGGCTTGTGTGTTTAATTCGCCAGGAATGTTAAGCTTCATAAGATTCACCCTATGGGGCCATGATGGTCTTTGGCACTGTTACTGTACAATTTCAAGAGGTAAATAGACACATTATAGATTAAAAAAATCTAAGATGTACTAGGCAAACATTTTCTTGATTGAAGGAATAAAAAAATGAATTTGTCAACCTCTTTCTTTCTGGGACACAATGCAGTTAATTAACATATTCTTGGGCTTGTTTCTGGATTTGGTAAGCAGTGGCTCCTTTCAGAGAGGAAAACATTTAAATCTTAAAAAGTAATCTTTGGTCCAAAGAGTATTTAGAAATTCAGTTTAATTTCTGATTCTCCTTTTCTTTTTTTTAAGTCCCAGATATGTTTCATTTCTTGCAAGGTTCTATTCCATTTCAGAAACTGATTTTCCTCTTTTCTATGTACAGAATCTTTTCACTCAGATAACCTTATTGTATCCTATAAACAGACACTTAAATATGTCACTTTAATCACACTTTAATTATAACAGAAATGCAAATCTTCAGTGTCAGTTAAAAAATGGGAACATGGACCTCACACTCCTGCCCTTAGGTTATATTGATGATACTCTGAAAAGTCAAAAGTGTAACACCTTTAAGTATTATTGCATCATGGAAAAAAATAGCCCAATTTTGAAATGTTATTAAGGTTTATGTAACGCCTAGCAAACCTAAAGGCATCCTTTAGATATATTTTTCTGTTGGTAATTACACGGTGTTTTACCCAAAAATGTAAATACAGCCAATGCATATCAGTTTTACAGCAAAGGAGTAGCTCTGAGGCCAAACACAAGATTAACCACACTAAACCCTTTAAAGTAAATATTAGGCCTTGATTCTTAGAAAGATTTTAAAATTTAGGTTACATGCAATTTAAATTTCAGAATTACCTAACTAAACTTTTAAATAATTAAGTGTATCTAACAATAATCTTAATTATGACTGATTCTAAGTTAGGGTCTGTTTTGTAAAAAAATGATGTCTTTTACATGGAGAGGTGGCTAACATTTGAGGACTGTTTAAATACAGACAATTCTAAATTACCGGGTAAATAAAAACTCTTCACCTGTATGAATTTCAACTATTGAAAACCTTTAAATAAACCAACTTATCTGAAAATTTCTTAATCATTTCTCATTACTTAGAAATTTTAGTTCAGTTGCACATAGAAAACAAAGCCTTGTTTTGCTCTGAAGAATAAAGCTCAGACTACAATTGGCTTATAAACACCAATATTGTGCATTAAATAACTATTTATTGTAGGCCTACTATGTGCGTACAAGACACTCGATAGGGTGGTATGCTGAGTTAAAAAAAATCACCTAAAAAAGAAAAAAAAAATCACCTAGTTAGATTAATTAATATGCTTCATTAAGTGAAATTTCCCAAAAGCCATTAATGGACTATCAATTTAAAACATAATTGGAATGAATATCTTTTAATGAAATTTCTGATAGTAGTCAATGATACAGGTGCCATGTGTGGGTTTGTACCTATAAAGATACAATGTTCACTTATTGTGAGATAAGTAACAAAACTAGTATCAGAAATACCTTAACATTTTAATCATACTTGCATAAATATTTGACTCATAAACTTTTCATGTAAAGTATGAAATTTTGGTACCAATGAGCAAAACAAAATTTTATTCATTAATTCTTTTAAAAAGAGGGTATATTTTAAAGTTTGTGCAAATCATAAGAAATTGCCTTATTGCTTTTTCCAACTAGTTTATTTAGAAAGAAAATTACAGTTTCTGATGAGGTTTAGTAGATGAATGAGTTCTTATAATTGCTTTTTGTTTAAAAACCTTAGTATCAAAGTCAATACTGAATTTTAAACACTTTATGGAAGTTAAGAATCCGAGTTAAGAGAAGTGCATATTTAGTCTTACCATTATAGAAATATACCTCAATTTCTATATCTCATTAAAGAAATATGCTTCAACAATAGATATAATAGACTAAACATAACATGAGAAAAAATAACAGAAGGCAAATAAAACTTTAAAAAGGAGATACATATAAACAGTACTAATCTAGGAACCAAACTTGGTTTTAAATATTTCGTTCATAAGTATCTACTAATGTAAATGATTATGGAAAAGCAAATGCAAAAATTTGGTTACTAGGTTGAGGAATAAAGAAAATTATAAGAAGATATATTACCCATACGGGAAGAAAATATAGTTTCCCATTATAGTAGGGTTAGAGGTTACATCATAAAATACTTTACTTGAGTTTTTTGTGGTTTGCCTCAGATGATTAGTTCAGAGAAACAGATTAGCCAATACTGAGTTTGTTGCTGTGATGTGAAGAAGTTTACTGGGACCACAGACTTTTGTTTTATTCTACAGGTACTGGATATATGTTTTCAAAGGATATTTTGAGAACATGAAATCAGACTTAAAGGATAACTATTTTAAGATTGAAATTGTAGTTTTCTGTGAAGTTATTTTATAAATCTCGAGAACTTATTTATTTTTTTACAATTACAGTTTTCTAGAAACTTAGTTGAACTTTAGCAATTCTGGCAATTTAACTATAAGTTTTATCCATTCTGAGGTATGAGAACTAGCATATTCAAACAACCACATGCATATGTATCTCGCACAAAGGACAAATATAACTTGCTCACTGTTATATTTCCTGTATCTAGTAAATTTTCCCTGGCTCACAGTAAATGTTCAATAAATACTTGCTGAATTAGTAATTAACCCGTATCTCTGAACGACTTTGTAATGTCTGTTATTCTTCCTTGTCACCTAATATTTTATAGAAGTATATTAAATATTATACTTTTGATGTATAACATAAAAAGTTCTATATCTGGTACATGAGTTAAAATTAGAATAAACTATTTTTACTCTATGTTTTTTCTTACAGTTTCCATAACCCAACATTTAATGTTAAATATCGGTTTTAAATAATTTGATTTACATTTTGTGAACATTTATATATACATCTTTCGTCAAATTTCTTCTTTAGATGCTACTATTTATATAAAGGCCTGTTCTTAAGAAATAGTGTATTTTCTCTATTTGTCTAAATTTCAAAAATGTTACAAATGATTTTTTCTAAATTTTTGTTTTGAAAATGGCAAGTGTTTACCTTCATTTCTTTAAGTGTTACAGAGTAGAGTAAAATACCTATCATTCTTTATATATACATTAATCTCATCATAAGAACTGAGCTCCAATGCATTCGAAATACAATGAATGTATTTTTAAATAATTTATTGCATTAAGGTTTGACTGCACTCTTCAGAAACGGAAGTTTCAAATTGATTTTAATTAAAAATTACTTTTCATTAGGAGTCTGAACCTGAGCAGGAATTGGATGTTGGACTGGTTTCCCTTAAAAAGGGGTAAAAATAAGATATATGGTAGAGATACACGAAACAGTATAGACTGATTTGAAGGTGATTTTAGTTTTAAAAATATCAGTGGCATTTAAAGAACATCATTCTTATATGGTCGGAAATCTATTGTAACCATAAGCTCCAAAAGATGTATTTTATTATGTAATCTTGTAATCACCTTTTAAAAATGCACTAATATAACTAAGTGAATTCTCATTTTTTGTCTTTTCAGTGTACACTTTTAAAGTTTTGCATTACTGTAGCTATCTCACTTAGCTTTGAGGGTGTTTGAATATATTTGTTAATATATGCTTGCATTGTATTACAGCTACTATAATTCTTAAATAGATTTCTAGCAATTAATTTCAAATGGAAATAGCAGCCATGCCACCATTTTTCTTTTCTCCATGAGAACACTTGGAATGGTTTTAGAGCTTAAACCATTATCTTTTGCTGACTAGGAGTACCTGGGTTCCTTCATTTTTTAGCATTTTATGAGGCTGCATTTTCTAGGTCCTCATATCATACTGCCAACACTTGATAAACAGTTTTTTTGTTACCTGCAAGGTATTCATCAAAGTTATGAATTTACCTTCTAACTATGCTTGTCATTTAAACAATCTATATTCCTATTTCGTGCTAAACTTATAATTAGACACTTTTTTGTTGTTGCCTAAAATCAATATTGGGCTAACAGGATACATAGGGGGTAGGGCAACAGTGGGAGATTTCACAGCTCAAAACTGTGCAATATCCAGCTAATTAATCTGTTCAGATAGGCCTGATACATTTTCTATTTGTGAGCAGTAAGCTCCCATCTTTCTGGCCACTTAAATGACCTTAATAAAAGTGACAAATTTGCAAGAGCAAATTTGAAGTACAGAGCCAGATCAGAGAAATTCTCAATAGAAAGAACTCCACTGACGTGTGGTGTTAGCTATCGTTTGGTGACTGACTAGGAGAACTTGGGTTCCTTCAAACTGCATTTTCCATATCCTCACATTATGTTGTTGCTGTTTTGATTAACAACCATTTGTACTCCTACACTGCAAGCTGAGGCTAGGTACTACAGGTGTTGTTTCCTCATCCGGTACTAACCCTAACTTAGGCTTTGATTTTGTCTGCGATGCACTTTCAGTTGTCACTGGGGCCAATGTGGTGTGTAAATGGGCGGCAGACTTGGTGACACTTTCACTGGGTGAACTTTGGGTAGAGCTCTGGATGTGAATTTAATGGGTGGACAGGCTGCGGCAATACAGTGAAGTTCCTGCGGCCAACTGCAGGAAGCCATGCTTCACTGCGCCCTTCTGGAAAGGCGGTCGACTTGCCCAACCCTTGATACCCTCGGGCCAGTTTTTGAGGCAAAGGCTGGCAGGTTGGTCCTCAGATGCCTCCGGGGAGTCCCTTTCAGCTACTCTGATAAAACCCTCCCTCCCTCTCGGCCCTCTGCATCTTCCCTTTTTACCCTCCCTCCCAAAGAGGCCTCTTCGCGACGTGCACACGCAGCCCGCGCGGCAGGCGTTGCAGAAGGCCGCCCCCAACGTCCCCGCCCCCGCGTGCGCGCCCCCGCGCCCTCCAGTTGGCCCGTTCCGGCCTCGGCGCGCCGCCGGCTCCGCTCGACCCCGCCCTTCGCAGCACACCTCGGCGGATGCGACAGGCGCGGGAGTGGGGAAGGGCCGGGAGGCCGGCCTGGGCTGCCGGCCTGGGCTGCCGGTCGGGCGCGGCGGCGCGCACGCAGGCCTCGCCTCTCCCGGGCCTGCTCTCTCACGCCGGCCGCCGGGCGGGCGCGCACGCCGAGTGACGCTCGGAGGAGGAAGCGCAACCTCCTTCCCCTCCCTCGCTGCCCCTGGCCCAGCGGGAACCCCCCCAGTGCGCCTGTGCGGAGGCCTGCTTGATTATGTGTGCCCTCTCCGGGCTCCAGCGTTAGCGGCCGGGTGGAGGTGGGGAGGGAAGACAACGAGGAGGAGGAGGAGGAGGAGGAGGAGGCGGTGGAGGGGAGGTGGGGGGAGTCAGCAAGGACATGGCTCCTGACTCCTGTGCGGAACGTGAGTGACTGAGCGGCAAAGCCCGAGTGAGCGAGCGGCCGAGCGGCGGGCGGGGGGCCGGGGCGCAGGGAAGGAAGCGGGGGCGCGGTGGGCTGTACGGGGGGGGGGCGGGAAGCACTCATTGGCTTGCATGTGTTTTTTAATGGTCCCCCCCAACTCCCTCTTAGATGGTCTCTAGCGACCGGCCCGTGTCACTGGAGGACGAGGTCTCCCATAGTATGAAGGAGATGATTGGAGGCTGTTGCGTTTGCTCAGACGAGAGAGGCTGGGCCGAGAACCCGCTGGTTTATTGCGACGGGCACGGCTGCAGCGTCGCGGTGCATCAAGGTAAACACCCAACCGCCCGCCGGGCCGAACCCGGCCTCCCAACCGTCACCGCTTCCCCCACCTTGGCAGCAACTGCCAGTTCCCCTCCCGCCCCTCCCCCGCCCCGCCCCGTTCCGCGGCCGGGGGTTGACTCTGAGGGTCGGCGGCGGGGCGGAGGGGGTGTGGGCTGTGCACGAGGGAGAAAGTGCGTGTGGCCTGCACTGTCATGTGATCCTGCGCTCACTCTCTCAAGTGTCACTCGGCCGCCGCCTGAGCCCGGAGCCGCGGTTCTGCGGACTCCGGGAGGCGGGGGTCGGCGGCGCAGGGGTGCGGGGGGCCGGGCGCGCGTCCCCCGGCCGTGGGTGCGGGTTGGGAAGCGTGGAGCCCCCTCCCCCTCCCGCCGCTCAGTCTGCCGCAGTGTCTGGAGACTTCCTGTGCCATGAAGTCTGGCTCGGGCGCGCGGCGCTGCGGCGGGCCGCGGGCCGCGTGAACTGCCCGGCGGCACTAGATTTGGGCCGGGGTGGGGAGGACGCCGGCTGCCGCGCACCCCAAGGTTTCTGGCCCAGACCCTGCGGCCGTCGCTGCGGACTGGCGCTTCCCGCGGAGAAGAGGCGAAAGGCTCTTGCCGCCGCAGTCGTGCCGTCCCCGGGACCGGCTGGCCCGAGCTGCGCTGAGCTACCTGGGGTGGAGGCTGAGGCTTGTCGGGATGGCCGCCTCAGGCCGGTTCCGCAGCTTAAGTAATCGGACAGAAGAGATGGCGGTGCCGCCAGGAACTTGGGGAGCATCCTAGTATTATTTTGGGGTGTTACAATTCGGTGAGTTTGGGGGATGTAGAAAAAGGTCAAGGACACTAGTAAGGTAGCTTTCTGGCCATGGAAGCTTCTGATTTTTTCCATTTCAGGTGGTAAGGAATTCAGGTTGGGAAAAACCTAGGTAATTTTTTGGCCCTCTTGTACTCCTCTTGTTAGGCACCAGCCTGCGTCCCTTCCCATTTTTGAATCTGCCATTGAGTGATGCAGATGTTGTTTAGTAGTGTATTGGACGCTAGTCAAACGAGAGAAAGCCTGAGCCTAAGGGACTAAAGTGCAGTTTTCATAGAATGGAATCTCAGAATTGGGAGATTTAGGAGGTAGTAAATAACCTAATCTGAGAATGCACTTATTCCCAGTTCTTTCAAGGAAGCGCAGAGTTGCACATCTCACTTTTTAAGGAGTGAAAACAATGTGAATTGAAACTACTGATTTTAAGGTTTGAGAACCTGGTCTATTCCACTGTAGTGTTCATTGGTACTTGTGGAGGTGTTTCTTATGAATTTGGTTGATAAATGATGCTAAGTAGTTTTCATCTCCCAATGTAGAAAATGTTCATTTACAACTGAAAATTTACTCTCTGTGTTTCTGAATTAAAATACAAGTTTTTTGGGGCACTAACGCTGTGTGGTTTTTTTTTTTTTTTAATAAGTTTTTTTGATGTGGACCATTTTTAAAGTCTTTATTGGATTTCTTACAATACTGCTTCTATTTTATGATTTGATTTTTTGGCTAGGAGGCACGTAGGATCTTAGCTCCCTGACCAGGGATCGAACTCCCATCCCCTGCATTAGAAGGCATAGTCTTAACTACTGGACTGCCAGTTACTTGGTTGATAGAATATTTTTACTCATACCTTTTAAAAGGGATTGGGACTTCCCTGGTACTCTGACGGTAAATAATCTGCCTGCACTGCAGAATAACCCGGGTTTGATCCCTGGGTGGGGAAGATCCCTTGGAGAAGGGAAAGGCAACCCACTCCAGTATTCTTGCCCGGAGAATTCCATGCACAGAGGAGCATGGCGGGCTACAATCCATATGATCACAAAGAGTTGGACACAAATGAATAACTACCACTTTTAACAGGGGTTCAGAGTTTAGCTTTTGGAGTTTTAGAAATCTGTGTTGATTTTATATTCTTTAGATGCTTTCCAATATTTGATATATTTCCATGTTTCCTTTGAGCAGGTTCATTTGAGAAAATGTCAATTGGATTATTAATGTCTCTAGGTTTTTGGCAAGTTTTAAACTTAGAGTTAAGTTAATGTTAATATGGAAACAATTTTTAAAGTAACTAGACTGTGATTTAGAAATGTGATATGTATTCACATCACTTGTTGAAACATTAACATTATACATTAGAAATAAACCTGCAGTTTGTTTTTTTATGACTTTATTGAGATATAATTCACATACCATGCAGTTAACCCACTTAGAATGTACAATTCAGTGGTGTTCAGTATAGTCACAGTTTTGGATTTGTTACTGCAGTTTAATAGTACATTTTCATTATCACAAGAAACCTTGGAGCCATTAACAGTTACTCCTCATTTCTCTCCAACTCCCCCAGTTCTAGACAACTAAATCTACCTTCTGTATAGACAGACAAATGTCTATTCTGGACATTTTATTTAAATAAAAGCATTTCACTTTTAACATTACATTTCATTTCCTGCATAGCTTGTTTATTTTGAAAGGTGATTTGAAAATAACTTTATTTTCATGTGTTTAAAATGCTTGATATTTAAACTTAAGATATAGGAATGAATTAGTGAATTTGAAGTAGTGAATATTCATATAATCATTATAGGAATGAATAATAAGTTATTTATGTAAACATGTTAAATTTTATCTAATATTTTTATTGTAAAAGAATAAGATTTGTGATGTTTATTCTTTTGAAATGAAGTAGCAAAAAGTTACCTTTCTGATATTTAAAATGTCATGATTGTAACTTGGTGATAAATGATAAACATAAATATAACATGTTTTAGTTTTTTACAAAGCAGTTGGAGGTATTACATTATTTTTTTATTTTTTATTTTATTTATTTATTTTTTTGGAGGTATTACTTTAATAGGGCTTTGGTACAATATTTGATTTTTCATAGTTATTCAACCTTTAACTTATTTTCAAACATTCTGTTTTCCAACAGCTTGCTATGGCATTGTTCAAGTACCCACAGGACCATGGTTTTGCAGGAAATGTGAATCTCAGGAGAGAGCGGCCAGAGTGGTAAGGACTGTTTATCAAAAACTTTAAAATACTTCAATGAGTAGCTTAGGATGCTACACACTGAGGTTTCATTTTGAAGGGTTTTCAGTCTTGTTCAAATATTGAATTTGGGCCAAATATTGACTTGCAGTTTTAAGCTGGTTTTATAAGATCTGAAAAACAAATTGAATTGCATATTGATGGATACTTAGAAAGGATAAAATATAAAGTTGTATTTTGGCTTAATTGGCCCTGCCTGCTGGTTAGATTGACTAATCATGGTTGGAACATAATGGCAGTAGGACATAGGTTGAGTTACACTGAGATAATTCTGCTAGGTTCTGTTTAAGAAGTAAAAAAAAGTCCATCAGTATTTAGTGATTCACATTTCTTTTTATTACATCTGTACATGTATAATTTAACTTTGCTCAGTATTTTCATACATTCAGGCCCTTTGGCAAAGCAGCATAAAAATCTTCCTTTTTTTAATTTGGCTGGCTAACCTTCTTTCTGAACACTTCTGTAAACCTTCTGTAAGAATGAGAGAAATGTTTATTCTTTGTGGCCAAAAGCATTTTTCCGGTTGAACTTCTAGAAATATGAGGGAAGAATAGATTTTATCTTCGTTAATCATATGAAAGTATTACCATTTGCAGTGTGATAGTTTCTTCTCTTGGTGTTGACTAGAGAATTTGACAGAAGTTAGAAAACAAATATTTCAACCTCTACCTACATGGAGAGCAAGAATGGAGGTTTTTAGTTTTGCCTAGGCAATTTTCGATCAGCAGAAATAATGGCTGAGTAGCCTATGTAGGATTGTGAAATCAGAGCACTAATATGTTGATATGTGGTGTTTGTGTGTGAGAATGCCCTGTAGCAGAGTTACAGTTATTCTGACATTACAGAAATAGAAATTAGCAAGTGGAGGATGAGATTAATTGTAAAAATTTCAGGACGTGATTTATGTATCAATTTACTCTCCCCTCCCCCCGGTAACATTTTATGGTTTGCGGTTGATGGGTCACCAAGTAAAGGACGTTTTGCTTGACTTTGTTAGGAAACATTGACAGTAAGGTAAGGTAAGGCTCTTCCACCGCATGACATAGTAGTTTTGTAGCCAGAGAAAGATGAGAAAATAACAAAGTGGGTATCAAGAGAGGGAGGATAAAGAGGTGAATGGGAGTGGTAAAATACCAGGATTATTTGCCTCAAATACCACTTCTTGCCTGTTTCTATGCCTTTTTCCTCTCTGAGGTCATGGTCAGAATATCCAGGTGAATAAGCTAGTTATCTTAAAAGGTACATTGGAAGACATGTTTTACTTAAGCTTTATTTGGCAGGATGTGGGGGTCATTAATTAAAGATCAGGCACAGTCTTTTCTGAATTCCTGTAGTTATAAAAGGTAGGGTTATAAAGCCATAGTTTTATATATGTATGTAGTTAAATATATACTCATATATATACTTACATGCATCCTCTTGTTAAAATGATATAGTAGCCAAGAAACCTAGCCTGAAAATACATCCATGAGTTAGGATGGGAACTGAATTAGTCTTAATGTTATTTCTGGTTTTCTCTGTGTATCTGCTTAATTCTTTTCCTTTCTACAGATTTTCTCTGCTAGTTACTCTGTCAATAACTAACTTTTTTTATTGTTTACTGTCAGATGCTGTGCTGAATGTTCTATATTAATTATCTTCTTTAATTATCCTGTCAAAATATGAGGTAGATACCCTTTTGTTATTCTCATTTCACAGATAAAGACCTAGTAGTTTTGAGAGAAATACGTACCTAGTTGGAGTCTGGGCCGTGATTAAACTCTCAACCACAGTATACTGTATTGTTGCCTCCTGTGGTGAATGATGGCCATGCTTCAGTCTTGTCTCCAGAGACTGAATTTCAGTCCGAATCTCATGTTCCTTTGATGGGGAAAAAACTGTCTTGGCTTTTCTGGTTCTGGATGGGTTAGTTAGCCATAGCTAGAGAGTAGAGTGGAGGTGGTCAGATGCAGGGAAATCTCTGTGGGTTTGGGATAGCTTGCTTTTCAGAGAAGGGAGAATTAGAAGCTCATAGATAACTGAGGAGTGAAAATCCAGAACCATAAAGCAGTAGTTTTACTCAAATAGCTTGGTTTGTGTATAGAATGGTTTTGAAAGGGGAGGTTAGAAGCTGAAAGACTTAGGTTGCTGTTATATAAAAATTTGAGAGTAGAAAGGGAGTAAAAAGGAAGGGAGGGAGCATTTTGGAGGAGGAAATGACAGAAATGGAAGTGGGGTGAAGGAAAGGGAATAATCAGATGATTCTGAGATGGCATGGTTGAGCACTCTGGGATAGTGATACTGTTAATAGTAATAGAGGGTTTGATGCTGCTCGGATGTTTCATTGGAAAGTTAGGGTTAAAGTAATGAAGACAAGTTGGGGATGGAGCTGCATAGCAGGAAGGTTGGGAGCCAAGTGACAACTTTTACTCTAGTAAAGAAGAGTGAAGGCAGAACTCTGGTGAATGTTCACATTTGGGAGAGTAAGAACAAGTTACCAAGGATGGCTAATGAACTGTCAGGAAAGGAGAAACTGCAGGTTCCGGTAGCAACACAAGCAGTTGTTTTTTAAAGACTAGTTGATAGTGTACATTGCTGCCAGGGATGCTGAAGTTCGAAGACAAGTTCTTGAGACAGCAATTGTAGTTTGCTCTTTTGGGCAGAACCCTTGTTACAGGGCATCGAAAATAGTAGGGATTGCAGGGTTAGAATAAATGTTGAAAAAGTAAAGAAAGACAAAAATAAAAATAGATGGTGATTGAGGAAGTTTGGTTGGTTTTTAAGGGAAGCTCTTTGTTAGATAGGCATTCATTGTTCGGGAAAAAACACTTGAATTGCTTACTTCACCTCAAGTGAATAAATATTTTGATTGGATTTCCTTGTTTATTAACTGCAATCATAGTGCTTACAGGTTAAAACACTCATTGATGACTGTTTTTATATTTAATGTGTATGTGTTCTTAAGTACCACAGGCTGAAGAGATTTATTTTATTTTTTTGGCTGAAGAGATTTATTAGAAATTTTACCTACTTGTACAGTGTTAATAAGATACAGAGGGGGATATTTTTAGATTTTTAAATATTCTACTTGGAAGACACATTGAAAGTGGATTGTACAGAAAAATAAAATGGCCAAAAGCCCTTTAAGGATTTGCATTATTTAGGTCTTGCTCTTCTGGCTGTAAGTGAAAGATGATTCCTTTCCTCTAGGAACTGAGCTATAACTTTCTCTTGTTGCTCTGTCTCTTTATTGCAGTTCCTCCTAGCTTTTTTACATTGTTAGGGAGGAACTGCTGGATGGGATATGAATAGGGTTTTGGGGATTGATCTAGGATTATACTATTTCAGTTTTAAGTTTTTTTCTTGCTGAATGTATGTAATGCACACAAATCACTATAAATCTGTAAAACCATGTGAAACATTTAACCACACTAATTAGATATTTATATTGAATTCTACAAATTATGTTAATATGCATTTGATTGTCATAAATAGTTCTGAGCAAAGTAGAACATAAAATGTGTATCTATGTGTTTGCCACCCAGAATGAACAAATGTCCTTTCTTCATATTTTCTTCAGATCTTCCCTTCTGTTTAAAAAGAAAAATAAATTAAAAAATTGAGTTGAAATCCTTTTTGTATTCTTTCTAGTCTGAGTCAGCCATTACCCTTTTAGTGTCTGTGGGATCAGTCTCTTTTTCTTGCCAGTTTCATTGAGCTATACTTATATGTATTGGAATGTTAACGATATACAACATAATGATTTGATATATGTATAAAAAACTTGCAAAAACAACATGCAAAAACTTACTGCAGTAAGTTAACATCCATCACCTCACATAGTTGTAGTTTTTTTTTTTTTTTTTTGATGAGAACTTTTAAGATACACTCTTAGCTTTCAAATAAACAATACAGGATTGTTAACTACAGTCATCGTGCTGTACACTACATCCGCAGAACTTATTTATGACTGGAAGTTTGTGCCTTTTGACCACCTCACCCATTTCCCCCAACCACCACTCACTGCCTCTGGCAGCTACCAGTCTGTTCTGAGTTTGTTTTTTTTGGATTCCACATGTAAGTCCAACCATATAGTATTTGTTTTTCTCTGTCTGACTTGGTTCATTTAGCATAATGCCTTCAAGGTTCATCTGTTGTTGTCACAGATGGCAAGGTTTCCTTCTTATTTTTAAGACTGAGTAATATTTCATTATATATGTAGAGCCATCATATATGTTTTAATCCTTGTTACTACATATATATATCCATAAACACCATCTAGTAGTATATTGTACAGAAATGTTATCATGTTATGTATGTGTTCTGTGATACAGCTACTTATGAGATTGCTGCACTGTATGAACTCATCTAGTTCATTGTTTTTATCTGCTTTTTAGTATTCTGTCACAGAATGTACTGTGATTTAATTCCTTTATCGACTGTTGTTATTTTTCCAATTTTTCACAATCACAAATAATGTTCCAGTGAACATCCTCGTGAATATAGTGAAGCTTGTTTTTTTTTTTTTTAATATAGTCTTAAGAGTATTATCATGACAGTTTTTAGAATTTATTTATTTCTGACTGCATTGTATCTTTGTTGCTGTCCCTCTGGCTTTCCCTAGTAGTGGGGGCTACTGTGGAGTCACAGTGTGCAGGCTTCTCACTGTGGTGGCTTCTCTTGATGCTCAGCATGGACTCTAGGGTGCTTGCCCTTGATAGTTGCAGGCTGTGGGCTTGGTAGTTGTGGGCGGCATGCACTAGAGCACAGTTGTGGCTCACGGGTTTAGTTGGCTTGAGGCATCTGGAATCTTCCCAGACCAGAGATCGAACCTGAGTCCATTGCATTGCGAGTAGGACTCTTAACCACTGGGCCATGGGGGAAGTCCAACATGCAAGTTGTGTTTTTTAGATTTATAATAATCTCTGATACATTTGGACTTATTTCTTAAGTTTTCATTTTGTGTTGCCTATTTACTCTGC